TTGATAAATCTTTCTTTATGCACATCGCAGAAATGACTTACAGCGTCAAATAACACGATACTGGAAGACAAGGTTGTTACTTAAGGTAAGCGCAATCACTTGTTATCGTGGCTTTATGACGTCAGTACACGGCCTCTATAACCATCCGATTAACATACAGATCTGATAAGCATTGCACATCACGTCTTTTGTTGGTAAAAATTTAGGCCAATAATAGAGAAAAAAAATTATGTCGATTGCAAAACCTCCTAGCATGTGTCACAGGTGTCTACTTATTTGAGACAATAAAAACAACAACAAAAAACATGGTATTTAAGATACTTATCTGAATTACTAAAAAAGGTTATATAATTCAAATTATTTTTCATTTCTTTCAAGATAAGTTTTTGCGATGTATTTTATATTATTTCATAATAATGATAATTAGAAACACAATATAATATTCTAAGCACCAACTCATTGATATTTTAGAATAAAATTGAAATAATCTATATAATGTAATTCTAAAAAAAACAAATATATATTGAGAAAATCTATACTGTTTGATAGGCTTATAAAGATAAACCTTCCCATAGATTTGTGGATGATGTTTAATAGAGGCCATCTAGTGTCAGCGATGACATATATATTGTTACGTCTTTGGTCGTTTGTTTGTTAATTTTCCGTAGAAATTCTTTCCGAGAAACTTCAGCGATACCAGTCCTTTCTTAAATAAAACTAGTTTATTCTTTCTCAACTCAACTTTGCAATACACTTAATTTCCACAGTCACTTTAACTTAAACAGACGCTATAATTCACAACGATTCACGCACTTTATTACAGTCACTACCGCGCTTGACTAAATTGTCCGTCTCTGTCTCTGTCTGTCTGCAATTTTATCTTCGCCGTCACTTTATTTGCCGGCTTATATACTATAAAAGTGTACATCTAGATTACACTCGTCTCTTCGTGAATCTTCTAGATACTCAGCACGTGTTACTAGCGTCACGTGACTTCCGCTGTCGTAACAATATATATATATGTTGCTTAAAGCCTATATGCCTGTGACTACAGCTCAGGCGTCTAGTACTTTTACACAACAGCATTTCTTTTCTTTTTTCCCCACTAATTTATCTGTCATAATCAGCGAAAATGTTTTAAAAGCAATGTTAATTATCAATTTTCAGCTTCTGTGAAAATCCCTTTCAGTTTTAGTTAAATATTTCTCAGTATAGGTAGTTCAGTGTTCATTATCTCCGATATTAGCTTTAGTATACAATGTCTAATAAATGCACCTTGCAACAGGAATAATAGGTTCTCTAGTGTAAATCTTATGCAAGAAGGAAGGTGTTGGTTTTGAATAAAACAACTCCAGGCATGTTGCTATAGAATCAAAACTCTACAACAAATACATATTGTAATATTACTTGTAAATATTTTTATGGATAAATAATGATTGTTTAACCATCATACTATTAGAATAACTAAGTTGTTATCGTTCTAAAATTAAGTATGAAACCAATTGTAACTGAGTTATACCGGTTTCGAAAGAAGCATTCGTTTGTTTGTTGTTAAGCGCAAAGCTACACAATAAATTATCCATGCTGTGTGGTGTTTCAGTTGTCTTTTACTCATGACAGCGAATCTATTATTTATAAAGACGTTGAAGAATGTGAAGCACTGCTGTTATTATATTATTCTTCTGAATTATTTAGCATGATAACCTTTTGAATAATTTTACTCAAATTTTATTCAAATCCTAAATAAATAAGTCTTTTTCAGGGGACACTTCAGTCCTAATGTATAAATCAATAGACCATCTAAATAGGACTTTATGAAACTGAACATGTTAAATTAAATTGAAGGTATTCTAAGCTGTCTTCTTAGCTTATCCAATACCGTTTGTAATGAATCGTCCAAATGAAAGACCAAATATAGAAAGCAATAGTTACACCTCTTGAACACTTCACTTGAAATATAAGTTGATTTACTTTGCAAAAAGTATCGCAAACTTTTATTGAGTAAACGTTTACTTTGGTAAAACTAAATTATATAAAGAACATTATCAAACTTCGCAAAGGAGAGGTTGAAAATATTAGTCAGAAAAGTCTAGGATTTAAAAGGTAAAGGAGATTTACAAATAAGTCTGTGGTAAAATATTTAAAATGCTAGGCAAGCCACAGGGACAAGGAGAGCACAGGAACTTTTCACTAGTGCTGAGAGCAAGCCCAAAAAAAAGGCCAAGGGGGTGGGGGATCTATAAGCTCTTTACTGAATTCTAGGTGATTTTTGAAGTAATAAATATTTACATTGTTTACTGATAGTACGATAATTAAACATTGGACTTTTACCATTTTAATTCATGTTTCAATGTTAGCGTGCAAACTGCTCATTTCATGAAATATTTGGACAGGTACTACATATAGATGTTTATAATTGGAATGACTAAACCAGTTAAGTACAATCTAGTCATTTTATGAAATACTGAGGCAATACTTGTATAAATAAGTTTCAACTAAAGCAAACTACTGACCAATCTTTTGCAAATCATTTCATGAAATAGTGAGACAATACTTGTACAAGTAAGTTTCTACTAGGGAATATTACTGAATAATCATTTACAAACAGTATTTTAAAAGGCAGATATGGTATATTATTTACAGAGGGTTGAGTACGATATGTTAAAATGATTTTGAATAAGCAAATGCTCAAGACATGAGACAACCACAGCCGATATAAAGCCACAGTAAAACGGAATGTATCAGAACTACGTTTTGATGTTTGCAGGTAGTGTGACGTCATCGAATATTAATCACTTTTGGTAAGGGTATGTAACAGCCCTTCCGACGCAAATATTCATACACTCAGATCATAAAGATCTGTTCAGATCGGGGATTTAAAATTTCCAAGACGAAGTTATCCATTGTTTATAGTAGCACTGGAAAACAATAAAATATGAATCATCTAAAAGAACTAGGACCATCCAAAAAGACACTTAAAACAAGTCATACCCCAGCCTTGTTTTGTTTTATCTCAAAAACACTTGTTTAGCAGAATCTCTTGGATCAAGGCCGTTTATATCTTACCACGAAGATGTGGTAGTTTTCAAAATCTTTGTTTCATCCATCTCATAAAGAACAATAGCCAAACAACAACTGTTAAGATTACTAGTCTCACAATGTGAAAAATATTTTCTGACGCTAGTATCACATGATTACTAGAAATATATTTTTATACACATGTATTTGGTTACGTAGAAAATACCAGATAAAACTGATACACCAGGGGAGCTTGTCAAAGTTGCTTAACACATTTGTAAAGCATTTGTTCTTATCTAGTTTTGATTAGCTGCTCTTTAAAAAAAGTCATTGTTTGAAACACAATCAAGACTTTACAAAAAAAGATGTGCAGATGAACAATGGCGAAGTTTTGGTTTTTATTCACTTCACTAGTATAAGTTTTATTCGTTTGTTGGATTTCGACGTCTCTAATTTTGAAGTGGTAGACTAAGTGGAAGGTACCTAGTCAACACCATCCACACCAACTCTTAGGTTTCTTTTGTCTAACTAAATAGTGGGATTGCTATTATAACGCACGCATGACCTAAGAGTTAGAAGCGTGATTATTATTTTTATTATCATTAACATATATGTATATATTTGTGGTGACGGGGAGCGAATAACGGAACCCCAACTTCACAGTCCGCCATGCTAACCATTGATTCGCTCTCGGCCCTCGCCAGTAAAGGATGACAAACCCTCTATTGGCAAGCTTCTTATCCGAGGTTATATTGGAGTTCAAAATTTGCCCTCTATGAACATTTTCTTACGTTGTTCCAACAAACTAAATAATTGAATATACACGATATCAGATCCTAACTGAATATGCAAGCTAAAGGGTTTTGATAGCTGAAAATACTGCCAATTTCTCTATCCAATTGCCTAATAAGGTGAAAAAGATATATATATTTGTTAAAATCTTGTTTATTTCCGGTTAGAAGTCAGGAGAGTCCATAAAGGTGAACATTGAGCGATATAAGTAAGTCTGGATATATTGGCCTCCTACAGGAGTCAAAATATTCTGTGGATATCAAATAATTACAAACAATATAGGAGAGCTATATGCGAAGTAGACATTCTGATCCCAGGTTTGTTTTTAACTCTAAAATTCCTACATTCAATTTGTTAACGACATCAAGGCATTATATTAGAAAGTCTACATATAAACTAGACAGTTCAGGGGTGGCGCCTAAGAGAGTGAGTGGCGAGACAAAGTCTAATCTCTTGACCTGAAAAATAGATAATTTGGGCTATTATCTGTAAGACACGTGACCTATTTTCTCAAGGAGTTATGGAAATATTCTGACACTTGATCAACTGATTGCACGATTTTATGTAGTAGATAAAACAGACTGAGTTGTATTTTATTTATAAATCTTTATTCTAAAAAAACACTACTTGAAGGATATACTAATGTAATTAGTGTAGTTTGGAAACTTCTGTCTGAAACGGTTTTACTTTCTGAAGATTTTCAACCGTTTTAACACACCGTAGTAAAATACATTAGTATAGTCGTTGGATTGAAGGTGCAAAGTAATATATGTTTTATGAAATCTGAAAACGATACCCTTAAATCGATTAACTGCAAATACTGTGTACGATTAAATCACAATTCTTTGCTACTAGGATACAGTGTTTGATTGTTTGTTTTGGAGTAAAGCCACAATGGGCTATTTGCTGTGTCTACCGCGTCGAATCGAACCCCGGATTTTAAGTATTGTAAGTCCGTAATCTTACCACCGTCTCACCGGGCAAGTAGGATACAGTGAACGAAATAACAAGACCTTTCGTGTGTTTCTAGTTGTTTTTATCACTAAAATCGTAATGCAAGTAAAAAAGGGGGTTGTAAGTTTCGTGGAGACTGAACAAACAAATATGAAGCATGTTTTTCCAAAATGATCATTTTAATGGAGCTAGGTTTTTTTCCCTCTCAATGTCAAATTATGTGAAAAAATTAGTTACATCCAGTTAAAATTTTTCTTCTTTATTTACATAATTACTGACTTTTCTCTACATCCTTTAATTTAAAATGTATTACAAAATTCATGGAAGATACGAGTTTTGAATTTGTTCGATATTTGCTTCATAATGTATAAAACAACGAACGTATTCAAAGAATAAAATAAAAGGCCATCCAGCGTTCAGAGGATCATCACCTTGAAGAAATCGAATATCAAGTCTAATAATTGATTATATGCATCACAGAAGTCTACGATTTCCTATTATCAAAATGATATTATTATACGATTTTTATCCTCAAAGCGCCATCTATGATTATGTCCGATACTGATCATAACATGAGTGTAAAGAGGTAACTGGTTTTTATATATCACGCTGTACTTCGCACTGTTGAATCCATCTTTAGTCTGCCTTTTTTTAGCCATGCGTAGAAGCGCCCTCCTGTGAATAGAAGAAAGTACAGTTTAAACATATTTGTAACTTTTAGATGTATTTTACGTGGTATCACGACATTTTACTGCCAGTGCATTTGACTGCCGGCAAATAATTGGGTACTCAAAACATTTCCTAGCACAGTGAACTAATAAACTAAAATCGCACTAAACTTGATTAAAAATAAAATTTAATCATAAAATAATTGAATAATTTGTTAGTAAAAAAAGGCTATCACTATATAACAAATGCGTACACAATTATTTATGTTTGCACGGGTACACACATTTTATGACGTAATTTTTGTGTTCAAAGTTTTTGACATGCTAATGGTTGCTTTTATAATATTCCGATAATATAATTTCTGTACATGCAGAAAAACTTAAAATGAAATAACTTATTGCTGCATCCCTTTGCCGGCAGTAAAATGTCGTACAACCATTTTACGTCCGTATAGAACAATAAATAATAACAATCATAACTGCGAAAGAGATAAAATTATGTAAAGTTATATGAGCATCATTTGTAACACAGTTCTATAAATGTAAATATTTTAATAATTAATAAATACTGTTCACAATGGAAGACATGAGAAAAAAGTATTAATAATATTCAAATTGATAAACCAGACGCTAAATGAAATAAGACAATATTTAATTTTTTAGAAATTTATCTTAAAAATTAAAACACTTATGTATTACGTACTTGCCAGTTATTAAGAGAAAGAGTAACAGTCCTAAACAATAAGAAATATAATATAGATTTATGAATATTTCTCAATTGGAAAACAAATTCAACTATGTAACCTTGACCTTTGACTTACTATCTAGCGCGTTACACTTTTTTTTTAATTACTAGAAATTCAAGACCCCGTGACTTTTTTGCCCTCTTTTGGAAAATCTCTAATTTTACATTATCACTAATAGCGATCAGTGTTCAAAAAACTATAAAATTTACTTTTTTCAGTTTTTCGTCATTTATAATTTTATTAGGCTAAAAATCCATGTTATATTCTATAATTTTCTATTAATTTGCAAATAAAATATCCTTATTTTTTATTTATGGAATATTTAAAAGGCAAGCTTTGAATAGAATAGGTAGACTTAGCGAAACGTGGTAATTTCAAAGGCTTAAAATAACTCAACAGATAACAATAAAAATGTCACGTAGTTTGACATTCTTCCCATAAATTATCTTATACATTATTGACACAAGGACTATAAGTCTGTTGTGGAAAAGGAATTCCTCCACAATGAACCAGTCCTTACGGTGTTTCTATTCAACAAATTTTGCATCTGCTACATTTATTCGTTTCTATTTATGTCATTGGATGATTATAATACCGCCAAAAGTTTACTTTTCCAAGTTTATTCATTTCCGTTGGATTAATGCTGCTACTACTACTAATATACTATTATTCAAACCAAGCACTTGACCTGTGGTCGGAACCACCGATAATTCGTGGATTCTCTTCGGGTGGCTCGATTAAAAATTGTACAATTACGGAAATGAAAAGGGCTGAATAGTATGGAGATCCCCTTTTAGTCAGCAAAGATAAAAAAATATATATATTCAGGTGAGCTGAAACAAAAAAGTCTGAGAACCAGTAATATCAGATCCAGATTCGTCGTAAAGTGGTAAGTTTAATGTATTGAATTTGACGGAACTAATGTTTAAGTTAGGAAAACTATAAAAAAGTCAGAGAGTTAACAAACAAGAAAACAAAACCTTTATAGCTCTCGGGGAATGACAGTCTCTTAGCAACTGTTAACCAATGCTTTGGAACGGGCAGAAAAAAAAGTATAAAAAATCGATATATAGGTTGTTTACAAGTGAGGATCCATCGGCGCTGTGCAGAAATTGTTCTCCTTTTTGCGAACTACACTAAATAGATTATATAAAAAACCCAGTTAAAAATATTTTTGAGTGAAACAGTTCTTTTTAAGTAGAGACAGAATTATTATTAATTTAAAATTTTGAAATTTTATATGCGCGTATGCATTCCACAACTGAAAGAAGCTCATTAGTCGAAATAGAGTTAACATTGCTAGTGCTTCTTCAATTCTCGATAAGATTATGGATAAGAATGTTACTATTAGTCGCAATATAGTTAACATTGCTAGTGCTTCTTCAATTCTCGATAAGATTATGGATAAGAACGTTACTATTAGTCGCAATAGAGTTAACATTGCTAGTGCTTCTTCAATTCTCGATAAGATTATGGATAAGAATGTTACTATTAGTCGCAATAGAGTTAACATTGCTAGTGCTTCTTCAATTCTCGATAAGATTATGGATAAGAATGTTACTATTAGTCGCAATAGAGTTAACATTGCTAGTACTTCTTCAATTCTCCATAAGATTATGGATAAGAATGTTACTATTAGTCGCAATAGAGTTAACATTGATAGTACTTCTTCAATTCTCCATAAGATTATGGATAAGAATGTTACGAGAGTGGTTTATTTGTAGTTATGCACATGTCGTTAAGCAATAGGGCTATCTGTGCTGTGCCCACAAGGAGTATCGAAACCCGATTTTTAGATATATAATCCCTCAGACTTACCACTAAGCCACTAGAAAAATGGATGTTCTTTCATACCTCACCTGTAGTTCTGAGATTTTATTCAAGTCTTTTTAATGAAGATTTCGTATTAACATAGACTATTCGTTGAGCATTAACAAAAAAATACATACTTATCTAGACAAGTTTCTAGCCTTGTATGTCTTTCAAATGTTAAAAACATCGGTTTCAAACCATTCGTTTTGTACGCCTGAAGCAAAACTGTTTTCATATCGAAAATAAATTTGTATTAGAGTTTGGGAAGGGAAAGATAGGTATATAAAAAGTTCATGACTGAGTATTCCGACAGCATGACTTTCATATGTACTGTTACAATGTTAGTAGGAATAACGAGAAATGTTAAGTAATGGATTTTCCTCCCCCCCCCCCCACAAACACTTATTTAACCCTCATTCTTAATAAAATGCTTCACATGCAGTGTCTTTGTCAAATAAAAATAAAAATAAAGTAAAAATAAAACGTTGATTTTCGTTTTATTACTTCATCTATCATAAGATTTGTTAAAACTAAAAGTTCAAATCTGAGTTATAATTTTCAGCCCCCAGTGTCTCAGTGAAAAGTCTGCGGACTTACGACGTTTAAAACACTGGGTTTCGATACCCATGGTTGGCACAGCACAGATAATCTACTGTATAGCTTTGCCCTTAACTACAAACATGCTTTTCAATATTAGCCTGCTTCAAAAGAGTTGATTCGTTTTATAAGTTTTAACAAATAGAAAATGTAGTCGAAAATATCTTACCTGACTACGTTAGGCGATTCGGCTCTGTGCTTATGTTTTATCATTGTATATCTTCCTATAAATGCAGGTGGTCGAATTATTTTCAGTTCTTGCTTCTCTAGCCTAAACAAGAAATCTCAGAATTATTTCACAATCGACAAATCACTGAACAATTCATATTTTGGCATTCTTGAACGGGGGTGGAAGATGTTGTACAAACAACATCTCCAGCCACATATACATCAATAAACGAACTAACCAACACTGATGATCTAATGTAAGACAGTTCCTTAATTACTCATCCTCATAAAAGTAAAAATTGATAAATATAACTTTTTATTTATTCTTTAAATCATATTTGTTAGTAGAACACAAAAATTTCAACACGTTAAATCTGTTAAATCCTTGGGTAAATGGAGTTAAATTTTGCTCCACGAAATATCAAACGTTTAAAGACTTTGAAATGTTCCCCGCTGGCTCGGTAGCAAGTTCAAGGGCTTATAATCCTAGAATTCGGGGTTCGGCTCCTTGTGGTGTACACAACACAGATAGCCCACTGTGTAACTTTGTGTATGGAAACAGAAACTGGGTAAATGGTCATTAAAATGTAAATCTGTCATTCATCTAACAAAAATGTACAGTTTCGTAAGCAAAGTTCGAAATAGAAATAAATGAATTATTTAGTTATTCATCCGTCAGTTCTCTTTAACCCTTTTAAGTACTTAATCTAACACAAATCAGTCGTGTTTCTACATAAATTTTAACTTTATAGAAATCAAACAGATCGTAAACAATTAAATAGTTAATACACGATTCAAGAGTAACACCGCTTTTTTATCGTATATTTCTTTGAGACTTTATTTTGTGTGTTAGTTTTCCTTTCAAACCCTCATTTTTGTGTTTATTTGTTTGTTGAATTTCGCGCAAAGTTACTTGAGGGCTCTCTGCGCTAGCCGTCCCCAATTTAAAAGTGATATACTAGAGGGAATTCTCATAGCAACCACTGCTCATCGCCAACTCTTGTACTTCTCTTCACCAATGAAAAGTGGGATTGTTCGTCATACTACAACATCCCCACGACTGAAAGGCAAGCATGTTGGGTAAAGAGTTCCGAATCCGAGAGTCGAACGCACTAACCATCAGGCAAAGTTAGGCCTCAATCTGTGTGTAATTTTTTCTGCAAAATTATTGATATCAAAATTTATTTCATTTTTGATAGTTCTTCAAGAATTGATCTAGCCAATAAACTTATTATGTTAAATATATTTTGCTTAATATTTGTTAGGTTTATAGTAATTTTATTTCATAATTCAACAATTTGAACTGAGTAAAAGTTATACAGCCCAAAATTATTATCAGCTTTAATTATTTTCTGGGTAAATGGAGTTTAATTTTGCTCCACGAAATATCAAACGTTTAAAGATTTTGAAATGTTCCCCGCTGGCTCGGTAGCACGTTCAAGGGCTTATAATCCTAGAATTCGGGGTTCGGCTTCTTGTAGTGTACACAACACAGATAGCCCACTGTGTAACTTTGTGCTTAACAAACAACAAACCTTCAATTACCAGATGGAATGTTAGTTTTTTCTGAAATATAGCAAGAATATGTTTGTTTGTTTGTTTGAATTTATGCACAAAGCTACAAAATGGGTTATGTGTGCTCTGCCCACCACGGGTATCGAAACCCGGTTTCTAGCGTTGTAAGTCCGCATACACACCGCTGTGCCACTAGGGGCAGCAAGAATGAACGTCGAAAGATAAAAACTACCAAACATGTTGGCACACTTTGAATATCATAAATACAGTTTAACAAACGACAAGCACGTCCATTTGTGGGACAGCTGTAAATCTACGGATTTACACAGCTAAAATCAGGGGTTCGATTCCTCCAGATGAACACGGCAGATGGTCTGATGTGGCTTTGTTATAAAAAAAATTCACTCGAAAAGAACGCGACAAATTCCCTTTTCCGATTAAAATGCAGCGAAGTTTCTCATTGTTTATTATAAAGTAATATTATAGCTGGCGAAGTGCTCAACAAGGTCCTTCCTTTCATGTTTCGATAATTCTGAAAATAAATCTACTAACCGGTGTGCTATGTCATCATCTTCACCGCCCCAGCCCCAATAGAGATTGGAATAGCCGTTGACCTGTAGAAAATGTTTGGTTTTCAAAGCAAACACTCCACCCACAAGGTCCGAATATGGCAACCTGTACAAGGTGATAAAGACATAAGATTAAATAACTATATAGCAGAACGACGAGAATGAAACAACCGAAGCCACGTAATATTTCATAAAACTTCTTAAACTGAATGTTTAAGCTTCATAAAGTTATGCAAAATAAAAATACCCATTTTGAATAACGTTTCATTGTGTGAGTCAATCACCTCTGTTTTAATTCTTATTGTTAACTGAATTGTTGCATATATCTAATAACAACTACTTTGCACCTGCTTATCAAGATGTATTATTCATATACTTAAGTATTTGCAATAGGTCCCCCAATTACTGGAAACATACCATAAAAATGAAAACATACATAAAAACGATAAATATGCAATAATACTATAGGAAACTTAAACTTAACAAATCGGAAAGAAACACAATTAAGTAAAATATTTTAAAATACTAAATAAATTCTTTATAAAAAAAACTCGTGGCATGCTGAAAAAATCTAAATCCATTTATAAATCAAACAGAATAAATAATCTGAAAAGTGGTAGTTTGAACTGATTATTTAGTTGGAAGATAAGATAAATTTCTTGATCTGCATGTATTCCTCTGCCTGCTTCAACAATATTATCGACGACCTGTAAAAGAACAGTGTTTTGTTAAACAGTTACTGTTCTCTCACATCTTCTCTTAACAAAATTCAACGAGATGTGAGAGAACAGTGTTTTGTTAAGAGATTCAACGAGACGTGAGAGAACGGGGTTTTGTTAAGAGATTCAACGACTGTTCTCTCACATCTGTTTTTGTTAAACAGTTAGATGTGAGAGAACATTGTTTTGTTAAGAGATTCAACGAGATGTGAAAGAACAGTGTTTTTGTTAAGCGATTCAACGAGATGTGAGAGAACGGTGTTTTTGTTAAGCAGTTAGATGTGAGAGAACAGTGTTTTGTTAAGAGATTCAACGAGACGTGAGAGAACAGTATTTTGTTAAGCGATTCAATGAGATGTGAAAGAACAGTGTTTTGTTAAGAGATTCAACGAGACGTGAGAGAACAGTATTTTGTTAAGCGATTCAATGAGATGTGAGAGAACAGTATTTTGTTAAGCGATTCAATAAGATGTGAAAGAACAGTGTTTTTGTTAAGCGGTTCAACGAGATGTGAAAGAACAGTGTTTTGTGAATAGTTTATATTACTAATAGAACGTTACATCATCAATAGAATTATTTAAGAGGTTTGTAATAGGTGATTCAAGCTTCCCGATAGCTTAGTTCTGAAATTACAACTCGGGATTCGATCTCTGTAATGGAGATAACACAGGTAGCCCATTATGCAGCTTTGCATTTATAAAACAGGAAACAAAACAATTGTTTGCCATAAGACATTAGTATTAGGCCAATTACATACTTTAAACATGACATTGTTTATCTAGTATATTAGGGATTTTATTGAGTTAGAAAAGTGTATAATAATAACATTATAACCTCAATATATTTGTCATATCTATTGCCGACGACGAGTTTCACTCAATCCAGAGCTCTTCAGGCCAACTGGGATACATCAAACACAGTAGTGGCCGGAACACTACCTATATAAATCACTTGATACAACAACAATTGTTATGGTGTATCATATAACTTATTATTACAAGATAAACAAAAAATTGGGAATTTAAAACCTGCAAATAGGGATCGTAAAAAAAGTAAGCAAACAAGGCTGGAGATCTGTAGACATTATTTACCCAAACTACAAACCCCTATTTTGGCTCCATGCTGTTACCTAGAATTACATTTGGATTCAAAATAGGGATTTGTAGTTTGAGTACATATTGTCTACAGTATCTCCAACCTTGTTTCTTTACTATTTTTACGATCCAAATTTGCAGGTTTTTAAATTCCCAATTTTTTTATTTATCTTGTTTGCTGACTTTTTTATGCTCAACTATGGGCAAAGAATTACCTGATATGATAGCT